TCATACTTATTTCTCAGTGCAAAATATTCCGTTATCTGTCCCATAATATTATTTCTCACACTCTTTCCCAAAAAAGAAATTCCAAGGGTGTAAAAATGCTTTAGAAATCACTAAAGAACTTCAAAACATGAGAAACTTTTTTAAATATCACCAGGAATTCAGATTGTTCCTTTTTTTTTCTACACCATTTTTCTCTCAGTTGATTCGGCGGATTTCAGTGCTGGTTATGCTTTTTCTCCTCTTAAATAACAATTTTCGAGCCCCTTTTTGAATTCAATGAACTTATTGAATTCAGTGAATTTTAATAAATATCATAGGGGTAATTGCATAACAATGTTTATTTTTTGTTCTCTCGGTTACATTAAGTTTTCCGTTTTTTTTTGTCTATTTGTTCCAAAAAAATACTTTTACTATACAAATAATCAGTAAGCATTCGAAATAAAGGATATTTCGTTATTTCTTTAAGACACAATTTCAAACCTTGGCTTAGTTTTTACTTAGCTTTACAACACATTTTCGAAGCTGAGTCTTACGCTAAAGAATTACATATGTGACTAAAGCAACAGTTCCCAAAAGGTGCTCCGCGAAACCCTAGGAATCCGTGGAAAAGTCACGTGAGTTAGGACAATTTGTTTAGGTATTTTAGACTAGTTTTCAGTTTTTTTAAGTTTCGTTTTTATTATGCCTGTTATAGGTTTGCATCCAACCGATAACTCATTATTTAATTGATAATGTTTTTTTATGAAATTATGCATGCAAAATTGCAACAAAATTGAAATAAAAAAATTGAAGCGTAAATTTATTTTTCAATAACATTACGTTGAATAAATTGTTAAACGATATGCATTTACGGATAATTGCATCCGTTTTTCTCACCAATCATTAAAATTCAAAATAAATTAACCAAATTCAAGAATAGAGAATTATTGTTTTCTGATGCACTTTCTCCCAATTTATATTTCATATTCATCTGATAAAACGGAATAGCAATCTCATTTTAGTTTATTTACAAAATTAATTTTGGTGCTCCAAGATAAACTTAATATAATCAATTTTAGAAAGTAGAACCATTAATTAACAGTTTTATTCACCTCTGAAACTAATTCGCTTAAACATCGCTCATCTCATTTAAACTTTTTTTCTGCTTTTTTTAACCAATTTCGAAAAAAATTAATTTATTTTTAGCCCATTTAATACCAAGGCTGCAGTCCTGAAACACCCTGCGAACTAATTGGATTATGAAAAAAAGCAAATTCCGTGAAATATTTATAATGAAATACTAATATATTTTACGAATAAAATTCTAAATGAACAATTTGAGCTTTTTATTTATTTAAAAATTTATTTATTTGAACAAGTGTATTCTATTTTATGTTGTTCACATTTCAAAACCAAAGAAAATACTCAATTACGATTATTACTGATTAATAAAATTATCGAGTAATTATTCGTGTTTCTGCATGAAAAAATAATTTACTACACTCACGAAAAATGTCAATTTCGACATTTAAGTAATAAGAATTTTTAACAAAATTTACGTACAAAAATTTTATCTCTTACATTATTGTGAATTAAAGCTGTATTTTTGTGATGATTTTCTATAATGCAATCTGCAATTTGATGCACAATAAAATAAATTTATATTTATGCAAATATTTTCATTCTTACAATGAAGTTATTAATTAGTTAGTAATGGTTGATAAATTTCTTGAAGGAGTGATTACATTACTAAAAATTAGGTTATAAGTTCTGATGAAAACTAATACGTCAAATATATATTATGGTTATAAAACTAGAAAGAAAAATTTTTCAAGGAACTCAATTTACATAGAAACATACTATTTAGTTTAGTGTTGTGGTAAACAAGATTAATAGCCTTAATGGCTAATCAATACAAACCGTCAATCAAAACAATTACAGAAATTTTAATTAAAACTATTAATAAAAATCGGTATTGGTATTGGTACCATAAAATTAATAAATACTCCTAAAAATTATTTTCAATAATCTATACAAACCACATTTTCGGCAAATTTTAATATCAGAATATAATCCTTTTTTATCCTCCATTTAAGTTTCACACAGACATTTTTAACCTTAAAAGGCATTCAAAAGCTTACTTGTTAAACTTATTTAAATTATTCATAGACTTCTCGAAGCAAAATGCTCACTGTCAGGGCCAGAAAAATAAAAGCACTACCAACGCACTTCCAAGCAACGCACTTCTGGTGTCAATTTGAGCTTTACCGAATGTATATGAATATTCATACAAGGATCTTTGCCAGCCATTTTAATTAGGTGTTTCCACTATTTCAATTTCTAAACACAGTCTTTGGTTAGAATACACACTCTCTCTTCCATTCTAAATTAGCTGTCAAATTAACCCAAGCCTTAAGAGTTCCGATGCTTAAATTTAGTTCTTCAATTAGATATTCATGACCGGTGTAATAAGGGTTAATTTTTGTGTACTTCTTGCAGTGTTCTTTTAAAAGGGAAGTAATTTCCGAAATTTAAATGCATTTATGTTATTTAGTTTTTCTAAATGAAAACTTAGTTAAAAAATAAAAATAAATATTTAATATTCAGATATATATTTTTAATAGCCTAACAAAATATAATATAAAGTCCTTATGACAAGTATGGAGAAGAAAGTGAAATAAAATTTTCAAAGAAATGAAATAAAACTCTTATTGGACAATCAAACTGTTTTTGACAGTTTTTCTTCTTACCTTCCTCAAGAGTGATGAGACAGATTCCAGTACCTTTATTTTTATCTGTTTGAAATACTTTTTGACAACTATGGTGATTTTTTGACAACTACTTTCTAACAAAGTTTCGAAAAATACATTAAGGGCGGTTATTATTGAAAATCTTACACATTCTTACTCTTTTGTTTTTAACGATGGATCTTTCCCCACTTCTTCTCTATATTGCACAAGTAACATATGTACGCGAACTGTTTTACATGCCTACTAATTCTTTATTCAACGAAGTAAACTTTGCGCAGATATAATACTTGTAAGGTTGTTCGTTGCTTGCCAATTCATCCTGGACGTTTAATATACAGTTTGAAAAATCTTCTTTAAAGTTATTGTAGATTTTTGAATACGCAGGGAGCAAAATAAAAAATGATGAACATCATGAACTGCTTCAGATCAAATGATTGGATTTTTACACACTAGGTCCTCAGTGATTGGAAAGTGTAACCTTCAATATGTAAATTATTTAAAGCTGATGCTATTTTAAGTGACGAAATTCGACACAAAAACGTAGTTTTTTTTAATAACATAACTTTTTTTCGAACTATTCGGGTTCTTTATGGTCAAAATAAGGTAGTAGCCACAGTCCGGAACATAAGCTCCCAATAGTTTTGTCAGAAGAACGATTGCAAATTTTAACACCTTAACGCTAATATTTTACGAATGAACACTTTTACGCATTGCGTTCTATTTTGAGAAGATTTAAATCAAATTTTTTTCCAGAAATTATAAAATTCTTTTATCTAATGATAAATTCAGACGAGAAATAATGTTTAATTAATATTTAGACTTTTTCATTATTTTATTTTATAATAGTCGAAAAAATTGAACTGTAAAGTAAACAAGTTTATACATCATTTTGAAACATGTAAGTGTATATGGCAGAATACGGAATTTGAAAAAAATCGGAGGAATAGTTTTTGAGAAATCAAATTTTAAACATAGGAATTAATAAATTGTGATAAATCCGAAACTAATGTACAAATGCACTCGAATTTTGCAAGCTGCTACTATTAAAATAAATAATTAATATTTTTTCGATGGAATTATCTTGGGTTAACCGAAGAAAATCTTCGAAATATAAATATCTTCAGTTTTAAAGATGTGGCGAAATGCGAAAAAAATATATAATTATGGGATTATAAAGATTATTTACGCTACAACTAAATATTTTGGGGGAAATAAATCATGCTGCATTTTTTAAAAGTCGTACTTGGGACCAAAAATTAATTTCGCTTTAACTTCAACTGCAAGGTCATCACAATTGTATGATCAAATCACATAATATTTATTTGAAATTTTGAGCGCAATACGTTGAATGCTATCAGTGACATTTGCCTTACCCTTATACACTACCCTGATGTAAACACTGTCTCTTCCTTATACTTCTTACGCTTACTTATTCCATGTTAACGTAACCTGTAATCAATTAAAAGATTTCAGAAAGAAGAATTTTAAAAAATACAAAACAAATGAAAGTATTTTTTATTTCATTTACTAGAGCGACATTACTTAAGCAAAATTGTTCATTTTCTAAAACATGTTTTAACCCATGTAAATTTCAAATGCAGTTCTTAAAATATTAATGGAACTTATAATAACTAGAATTATTTTGGGTACTAGTATTTCCGTCTTCTTTTTAAAAAAAGTAAATATTCTATTTAAAATTCAAAAACTGTTTAAAATAATTAAACAATACCTACGTCAATAAATAAGTTTTTTGACTCAAATAACTATATGAAATGTAGAGAACTTTAAATCTATAATTGGCTTTTTCATCTTATAAATTTCCTTGAAGTATAACTGTGAAGTGGACAACTGCTGTAAAATTTTTTGAAACAGAAACTCGGTTCTATTAATCAAACTTATACTTATAACTAATCATATTTGGTGCTAAAAGTTCAGCTCAAAGTCTCAAAAGGCAGAGGCGTAAGCAATTTTATAAAAAAGAAATTACAAAGACCATGCGAGCTACACATACAGTCCCTGGTCAAATTAATAGACGCTTTATAAGATTCTATGTAGAATATTAATTATCAGGCAATACTATAAAGCTTTATTGTTTTAACGAGGCAGAAACCGGTTTGCACTTGTTTACGTTCGTGTATCAATTGGTTAAATTAGACGTTATATAATGTAAATTAGACTATTGGATAAATTAGACAATATATAGTATAAATATAGAGTATTTATTATATCCAGTATTTAATTAGCATATTATAATAATTGAACCAAATTATTAGACGCACTGTTGTTTTTTAATAATTACATGTTTTGCACGAGTTTTTATATGCAATACTTTTATATTTAAACATACATGAAATGGGTTTGTATTCTTATTGAATTAGATTTTTTATTTGCTGGGATGGCAGATTTTTAATATTCTTCCTATTTGTGTTTATTTTTAGCGTATTGCATTACAATGGTAACCAATTGATACATGAAAGTCAACAGGTGCAAATCGGTTTCAGCTGCGTAAAAACAATAAAGCTGTATAGTATGACCTGAAAATTAAGATTTTGCACAGAATCTTATAATGGGTCTAATTATTTGGCCAGGGATTGTACATCAATATCGATTTAAAAATTAAAATCAAGAATTATAACGAAAGTGGATGAGAAAAAAATCCAAACATTGGGTAGATTTTTGCATGAGAAATAAATAATATAATAAATAAATAATATCCAGGTCTCTAAATTTATTGTTCTTTTTTTAAGCTGACTTCCATAATTTTCTCCATTAGTGTATTTCAAACATAAAGAAAATAGGCGTTTATTGTTAATGTCCCTACTATACATTCTCGATACAAATTTTTGTTCAAACTGTAAGGGGAGATCAATTTTATCTCTCATTCTTTATGACGGTTAATTGTCATTATGTTCAGTTCTTTATTTATTTACTTGTATTGAGGATGCATGCGGTCTTTGTGTTGTTTAAGACGACTTTGTTGAACAAAACCTCTTTCACAGAGGTGACACTTATGGGGGAACTGTTTCGTGTGTTTCTGAATAACGTGCTTATTAAGAGCTTAATTATCACCAATAATTAAGATTTTACATAGAATCTTATAATGCGTCTTATAATTTGGCTAGGGACTGCACATCAATATCAATTTCAAAATTAAAATTAAGAATTATAATAAGAGTGAGTGAGGAAAAAAAACCAAACATTTATTTTTGTATGAGAAATAAACAATATAAAGGAAAATAAATTCCCCGTCTCCAATTTTATTGCTCTTTTTCCTAAGCTGACTCCCATATTTTTCGCCATTAATCTAATTCAAACATGAAGAAAAATAGGCGTTTATTGTAAATGTCCCTACTATACATTCTTCATACAAATTTTTATTCAAACTGTAAGTGGAGATCAATTTCATCTCTCATTCTTTATGACGGTAAATTGACCCTATGTGCAGTTCCTTATTTATTTACTTGCATTGAGGATGTATGCGGTCTTTGTGTCGTTTAAGATGACTCGGTACAAGAAAACCTCTTTCACACAGGTCACACTTATGGGGGAACTGTTTCGTGTGTTTCTGAATAACGTGCTTATTAAGAGTGGAAGATGAGGTGGCCCTGTATTGGCAGACGGAGCACTTGTAGGGTCTCTGCAGTGTGTGGATTCTTATGTGTTCATGAAGAGTTGAAGAGCGGGTGAAATCTCTTCCGCAGGTGGAACATCGGTAAGGTCTTATGCCGCTGTGACTTCTCTCGTGTCTTTTCAAGTGTCCTTTTAGAGTGAAGTCTCTTCCACACACTCCACAAGAGAAGGATCTCTCTCCACTGTGAATCCTCAGGTGTCTCTTGAGATCTCCTCCTTGAGTGAATGTCTTGTGGCAGTGGGGACATCCGTGTCTTCTCTCACCCGTGTGTGTAGCGAGGTGACGTCGGAGATTACATGGTATATTGGTGGAGTAGACGCAGTGGGGACATCGATGCCTTCGATCGTGTCCCTGATGGGGATGTTTCCTCCTGTGTCGCTCCATGGCATCCACCGAAGTGAACAATGAACTACAGTCATCGCATGCCACGCCTTCCCCACCTATAAAATAAACTATTTTTAACTCGAATTTAACTGCAAGTTGTGGTAAAAACAAAAGAGTATTGTTTGTAGCAACATGAACCACGCATGCAATTTACTATTGGCAGCAATTTTTGATAATTTTTTTCAGACTTTTCGTTAAAAAAAAGATATCACTTTTAATAAAAAAATAAAAAACTTTCTTATTTTTTTTTCTTTTTTGCTCATTGATTGCTTTTTGTAATTTACATTCATAGGAAATTTCCAACTTTTAATGAGAAAAATTTCATATGAATTAGATAAAACCATTTTTAACAAATCATTTTTGTTAAAACCATTTTTATAGGAAATATGGCTGATTTATATTATTTTTATAAAAATGAAGCAAAATTAAAAATTTTAAAATTATTTAAAATAGACAATAATATGATTGATTCAAAAGTTTTTTTTTAATCGAATCAAAATAAGTGGAATGTCTAAATAAGTGGAAATCAAAAGTGAGTAGAGTGAGATTAGTGATGACGCGAAATAAAGAAACATCTAAATAATTTATATTCAATGAAATAAGTGAAATATGTAATAAGTATGACTCTACACATTATAGACAACCGCGACATATTAAATACATACAGAATAAAAATACAGGACAACTTGATAATTATTGATCGAATGATAAGATATTAATATGTTAAGATGTAATCCTAATGTTCCTAACTCTTGAACAGAGCTATTTGAAATACTCTCATTCATTTGTTACAATGAGATTTTAAGCCATAAAGTCGGTCACGAAAATTGTCTTCCATCTCTAAACATGCCCTGTTAAATTAATTTAGATATTGTACCTTAATGTGGTTGTAGATGCAATCTGAAAAATATGATACTAATATTTCAGCAAAAAAAAGTCGTTAAAAAAATGTTTCATCTTAGTTTATTTTACTTTTCGCATATTTCTTTATTTCACTGGAAGGATGCTTACGCAATAGTTTATTTGCACAAATCAATTTTTAGGATAATTTATATATTTAAAATATAAATTATCCCAAATAAATACATTTAATATGAAAAAGAAATTATGTATAATTAATAAAAAAAATTTATATTTATCGAGATTTTTATTTATTTTTTAACTAGCTGAACATACGTTCCTCGTAAGTAGTGAAAAGAGAATAATACGGTAAAACATTTTTAAGTATAAAAACTATTAACGAAATGTAAATCATAAATTAAACTTCACAATGGTATATGAATAAAACTTAGAGCAAAAAATCCATTTAAAACGATGACAGTTTGACTTAAGATAGAAAACTTTATTGTATTATCAAAACACTGAAACACTTTTAAAATTTTATCTTATCAAATACGTTACCTTAACTAACGCTCAAATATAAAAATTTCAGCAAAACTACTATTTTCAATCAACTTAACTTATACGATATAGATTTCATCATTCATACTTAATTGGTTGGCTTCAATATCTCTTTTCAAGCTAATTCCAAGATCAGAGGCATATTTTCCCCCATACCAGACTAGAAGCTCTTGAAATGGTAACACTTTTCTGTAAGTCTTGTAATAAATTTGTTTCTTGTACTGGATTGCCACTAAATTTTGCCTCTCTTCCTTGTCAGCACAATTCACGAATCTCAACCAGTTGGAAATATCCTTCTTGAACCCTTCAATATAATGATCCACTCTCCCTCCCTTCCATACCTAAGCAAAAATTAAGTCAACATTATCAATTGAACTTAATAATATCATTAACTTTTTATGCATTATATTTAAAATGAAATTAATTAATAGTCTAACAAGGACAAATACGCTAAAATATATATTTAAAGATATTGTAATCGTAATTTAAAAGAAGTATCTAATTTGAAAAATGAAGAAAAAAGTAACTTCTTATACCATCCAAGCATAGCCAGATTTTTCAGCCTCTTTTCTTGTTCTAATAATCTTTCCCTTGTAAGGACCAAACACTGTTCCTATAGGCAATGGGATTTCTGTCCATATTCCGAGTCCTGCTTTAGGAATGCTCGATATTCCAATTGAGAGAAAACTTGGTATTGTCAGCTCAGCTCGGTCTGATGAATTTTTGGGAACCTATTCAAGCCATAAATTTTCCAAAGTCACAAAAACTCTCTTAGTCAAAGAAACAAATATTGAATGACTTTCAATTTATTTTTCTTTTTAAAAGATGATACATTTCTTAGATTTTTATTTAAATTTGGATGAAAAGATAAAATGTTTTACTAAAACTAATTTTTGTATTGTAAAATTTTTCCAAATCCAATAGTTTCACCGCCTTTTTTAAAACCAAACCAAGCACTGATACTACCCCTGCGAAACTCAGGGTTATTTTGGTCTAAGAAAATCGCAACTATCATCATTTTCATCTAGCTCGAGATTCTTTCATTTAAACTTGTAAAAATATCAAGAATTGTGCTTAAAAATCATATACGTTGTACCTTGAGAAAATATCCTTTTTCTTAAATTTTGAAAATCATTCTCTCTAAAGCTAGAAATAACCAAATATTGCCAGGCACTTAGCTTTTGAAGATTTTTTTTGCAAAAAAAATTTCTTTAAACAAAAGATAATTAATTTCATTCTAGAGAAAATTTACCAAGTTACAAGAAAAAATACAAATACAAATATGCAAATAGGAATATTAAATAGAATTCAGAGAACATCTAATAAATTATTAGAAAAAAGTTTGACAGAAAAGAAAAGATTTTGTACTAGCTATAACGAATCTCAAAGTCCGATATTTTTAATTTATGTCATATAGTAAAAAGTTTGTTTTAAATTTATTGAAAATTATTTAAAATTCCATACATAGCTGAAAAAATCCAAGTCTTTTAAACTTATATCATGTAAAATTTATTGAAATTTATACTACTATTAATAAATACAATATTATTTATAATAGTTACTCAAATAACGTACTTCCATTTTCTAAAAAATATTTACGTAACGGAATTATAATGCTATTAAATATTTAAAAATAATCTACTTCAGCCTCTAAATAAAAGTAATAAAAAAGAAATATAAAAGTTTAAAAAAGAAATTTTACAATCTTAGGAAAGAAAAAATTCCTTCTAACGAACTTGTCCTTAGAATATAGTTTCCGTGTGTTCACATTTAAATAGTTTTTCAGTAAAACTTACATAGCAATTTTAAAGCAGGGGAAGAAATTTAAAAAAAAAATATTAATTTATAATATTTGTTGTCTGATATAATTTCCAAAAGGCTATTAGTTTTAAAAACTTAAGTCCAAGAATATGCCTGAAAACGAACGCTTAAATGCCTGGAGAATTTGAATAATGATTATGGTTTAAGGTAGGGTAAACCAACCAGTGAAGAAACACTACCCAGTGAAGGAACAATTTATATATATTGATTTAAAATAAGAATTTGAAAATTTTTCTTTAGATTGATTGGTAACAATAGCTTACTGCCAAACAATAGGAAGTCATCTAGCAATGTTTTGGATTACCTGGTCACATAGACTTCAACGGAAAAATTTTTGAATTTGTTATTATCTCTGCAACACCTTGTTTCTTTGAAAAAATTATAAGGTGAATGTTTGTATTTATATGTTTGAAGTGGAATTAATTGCATGTAATAGTTTTATTTTTCTCACTGTGAAAAATAGAATTCAAAATATAGTTATTGAAGTTACGTTTTATTTTTTTAAAGCATCATAGCATAATAAAGTACTGAGATAAGGGGGTGTTTATTCACTGGATCACCAAACGATGAAAAACCAGTGAAGGAACAAGTGTTCCTTTACTGGGGTTTTTTCTAAGTTAATGAAAATAAAAGATAAACTTTAATTTTCTTGTACCTTCAGTGATATTCCGCATCAAAAGTATGTTAAAAATACGAAAAACAATTTCCAACCAGTGAGGGAACAGGCATATATTCCTTTACTGGGCATAGAATTCCCAGGGAATGAACAGTATATGTTAATATGTTGACACTTTAATTTTCAATTCATGATTAACATTTTTTAAGTATTTATATGTTTTAATTTCAAGAAGAGGCTTGTTTTTAAATATTTGTATGGTTTATAAATTCATAAAGAGTATTAAAAAATAACCAAAATTAAGTGTTCCTTTTCTGGGTGTTTATTCACTGGTAAAAGGTGTTCCTTCACTTGGTCTTCTTACTACTTATTATTTGAACCTCCAAAACTTCAAAACAATATTATGTAAGTTCTCTAAAAAATTTTTACATAATTTGCAATTAGAAACAAATATGTTGACACTGTCATTTAACTAAAATTGTGAATTTTGAAATTAATATGATTTTTTAAAAGGCAAGCGAAGCTAAAGTGTTCCTTCACTGGTTAGTTTACCCTATGTCACATTGTTACATAATTATAATTTAGGGTATATCAACTGGACAAAATTCTCCGATTTGCCAATCTCTGTTAAATAATAGTTTAAGGAAAACTGCAAATAGTTGATAGATTCATACTTTCTGGTCAACTTATTTATGACGTTTAATTAAACTATTACCTTTAACTTATAACTATTAAATCAACATTTATTAATTCACTATTAAGAATTTCCTACTTACTCTTCGATCACATACCCAAAGCATAGGGCCATGTTTCGGACAAGCACCTTTGTAGTCGCAGTCGCAGAAATCACAATCTGCTCATAGAAGAAACAAATCCCCAATATTTAAAATGTACATAAACATGATGCTGATATAAATAAATATGCATTGAATTACGAAGAATTAAAAATAAGATAAGATTTTTTTAAATTATTATCTTACTATAGTTTTGTCGATTAAATGAATCAATAGTTTTTTTAAGTAAATTATGAGCTTTAAATTCTGTATTTTAAATTTGATATTTAGGTAATTTTGGAAACATGTTAACGATTTAACGGAAATTCTGTCTTTCAAAATTATAGTACTTTTTTTTACACTTTTAGTAAAAACTTCAAAACTGAAGAATAGATTTAATCGAATAAATAGCTTTTATGCCATGCTCTGTCAATAGATTTAATCGAAATTTTATTACATATTATGAAACCATATTTTTTTTCTAGTTTTACCAAATTCATTGCTAAATCGCATCGCTAAAAATACGCGATGTTACCAATAGAGCCAAAAGCATGGTAAATTATATCATATTCCGAGCATTCTATTTGACCATATTTTTCTCAGTGTATTATTATTATTATTTTTATTTTATTTTCCTTTTTCAAATTCATCTTTGTCTTTAATTTGAGAAAAAATTATCATTAAATAAATAAAATTAAATACTATAAGGTTCAAATAAAAGATGAATAATAACGTAGCAAAGAGAAAAGTAAACATATATATTTCGCGTTTTGATCTACATTTTGCTTGTTGGAATATGGAAATTTAAATTATTTTTACTTCAGTTTGGTATTTCCTTATCAATATTTTCTGAAATATTGAAACCACAGCATATATACTACGACGCGATTAACTTAAGAAAATTTTGAAAAGATAAAGTTTTCATTGGGGTAAATAAATGTTAATTACAAAGCATGATTTCGCAGTATGAATCCGTTTAAATGCTCGAAGTATTGAATAAATTTGTCAAAATAATTATATTATTTCATTCACAATTTTTTAATCTCAGTTTAGAAAATAAACGGTTTTCAAAGTAAGTCTTCATCACTTAATGTTTCAAGTTTTTGATTGATTACACCTTTAATGATAAAAAATGGTTAAACGAATGATTAAAATCTAAACATTTTATTATAGTTTTAAATAACTTTAAGAAATCAAGCAGCTTTAAAAAGTAAAACAAATCTAACTCCCAAAATAATATTCATATGTAATATATCATAATATATCATAATATATCATAATTTATCATGTTTTAAAAATAATAGGTAAGTATTATATTTACACAAGAACTCATCCTCGCTAGAGACATCTTCTTCTTTATATGATTTTTGCTTGATTTTCCTTTTAGGATATCGACTTGGAATTTCAAGCTCTAAGAAAAAGTAAACTCAACTCTTAATCATATGTTTATTAGTATTTTGTTGTTGTTTATAAATGGCTAGCATTGAAAATATTATCAAATAAAAGTTTATATAAGAGGTAAAAAAAGTCATTAAATTAAATTAAATACTTTTATTTTTTCTAACTCAATCAAAAATGTCCATGATATATTTCAAAATTAAAATCATTTTTAACATTCTCTACTTATAATATTATCCTGAATTCATGGGATCGCATTCTGCACTCCCTCCTTCATGTTAATTTCAGTTTTTAAAATTTTTGCTCAAAAACTTACGTTGGGCAAACAATTTTGCCCACAATTATAAAATACCCTTACCAAAGAGAATTCTATTTATGAAATTACTTTTTATTAATTTATATTTTAGAATCAATTTTCATGTCACATTTAAAAAGTATCGAAATAATCTGCAATTCCATGCTATACAAACTTTTATATCAGATTTTGTCAGTTATGTTATTAGTTTTTCATGACAAAAAAAAGAAATTTTGGGCGAAATCAGTTAAATAACTTTTGTACAATAAATTTTCAAAAAAATATTTTTTTTACTTTCACTTCTCAAGCAATATTTTAACAACTTCATTCACATTTTGGACTTCGTCTTTTCTATGTATGTTTTGACCATAATAAAATAATATAAAACAATAATTATTTATTAAAAATATTTCACTTATTCTCATATAAACTTATAACATAATTGGGCACAGACGTTTTTTTATTCACTTAGCAAGCTTCTGAGATATAGCAACGAAAGAAAATAGGAAAATTAAGACAGAGAGCAAAATCTATTGACCGCTCTCTAGGCTTAACTATTCGAACATTTTAAAAAAGCCTACTTGTTATTAGCAAATAAGTACTCTACTGTTTCCGTATTTTTTATATAATTTTTTATCATTTTCAGGCACTTTTTGTATCTGAGTGTTAATGGAATAAATATACCAGGCCCGAGCTTAGGATTTCAAATTATTAACCAGTAAATTAGCCAAACATCAAAAGTATTAGCCCATTTCGAAACTTTTCGGGAAACGCAACTCTTACCAGCTTTTCATGATTAATTTTTTTCCCATGAAAAGCTATTTTGCTGCAGTTTGTTCCAGACTTTTATTTTCTGGACCCAAATCAAAGTGTTCATGAGTCACATTTAACCTAAAATTACTGAAATCGAATAAAAAATACTGATTTGCTCATTTTGACGTAACTTTAATTTCCTTAAAATGGGAAAAAATAATTCGCTAATACTTTCGCTAACACGCAATTTTATTCGCCAAATTTATGATATTAGCGTAATTGGTGAGTTGGTGAATGTAACAAAAAAAATAAATTCACAGATGTTTGTATATTACGGCTCGTCGCTCAAAAGCCAGTTCCTCGGTCGTCAAATATGGAAGTAGGTGAAAGTTGTAAATGATTCTAAATGTTGTGGTTAAATGCTTCAAAATGTGGAACAGCAATACATCAAAATTAAACAAGTTATTTCGAAGCTGTGACTTGATTTTATGTATAAAATATTTTAAGCATCTTTCTAAACTAACCTAGTTTTGACGCAAACTGCTTATGAGCTTAAACATATGTTGGACTACGTAAAAATATATTTTCGTTGAATTTTGAATAACCTTTGGTCATTTAACCAAAACTCTCCCATATATATATATATATA